GAGCCCATAGACATCTACAACGTAAATGCGCCAGCCACCTTGAGATATAAGTTCTAAGGTCTCAAGTATAGTTACAACGGCTGTCCCGCCCTTCAAACCGAAACGCATTACTGCTTCACGGCAGAAATAGGCAGGGTGTTTCGGTTTGAAGGGTGGAGCAGCCGTTGTGTCGTAAAAACTGACATTTAAAACTAATTTCTCTAGGTGGGTGGCAGCATTTACGTTTTTGATATTGTAGATATGTATATACGACAAAGGGAAGATCTTCCACCGAGCTGGTTAAATTGTTCGGTAGACCGACGGTCCGAATGTTGTTCTTCGGAACTTGTATACATAATATATGCAAGCTTATCTTGAAAATGTCGTTAGCGAGATTCAGGCTTCTGTCAAATATCTTGTGTTCTGGGATGGCTACCCGCCACAGATATATGTATATGGGCTCCAGTAACCATTGAATACCAGGTGAATTACGCGCTCGTCTACCCATCTAAGCAATAAAACAATTTTTTTCAATGGTGGTAGGGCATGTTGATCATTACGCCCCATACGCGCGAAGTATATGTTCCGGCTTCAATGATAGGATAGCCGTCTAGACTTCTATCAAATCACTCAAGATGAGCAACGATATTCATGTTATGGTGTTGGTTGGTCACGATTTTCCGTTTAACACAAAGTTGTTCGTAACCTTTAAGCTTCCTAATCGTAGTTTTTTCGGTTTTCACGAGTTAAAATATTAATTGAAAGTACTTTTTGTTACACAACTATTATACTATTTCCGTGGTCAATGATGACTAAAGTGTTATTTGTTATTCGTATTAGGCATTATACGTCTGATTATTGTGCTAAACTGCCGTCTATTATTTTTATAAATCACTCTTTAATCTTATCAAAACTGAAGCGTACAAGTCTTTGTTTACAGCTACGTGCGCAGCGCAGAAAAGGCGTAAGAATCAGTCAAGTCAAAGCTACATTTAAATCATTGTGTATTTGAATTTGTTCGTCTTGAATACATTACAATTACATACAATCGAAGCCGGTAGCGGAGTATTGGTGACGCTACGTGCACCTTAAATGGGAAGTGACGATAATCATTGTCATTGTCGATTAAATAATAAAATGTGTGAATTCGTTACAGCGGTGTTTCCTGCTTAATGGCCTTCATTATTTTGCATATAATTCCAAATATTATCTTTTATTCAACCAAAAATCACACAAGTACTAAATAATGTTATTTAGTAAGTATTCTTATGGTAGGGGAGCCTAAGCGGGGATTTCGGGATTTAAAAGCGCGGCAGATTAATATACAAGGGGAATTTATGCTATCAATATCTGACGCCGTGACGAAGTCGTCATGGCCTAAAGGATAAGACGGCCGGTGCATTCGTATGTAGCGATGCACCGGTGTTCGAATCCCGCAGGTGGGTACCAATTTTTCTGATGAAATACGTACTTAACAAATGTTCACGGTGGACTTCCACGGTGAAGGAATAACATCGTGTAATAAAAATCAAACCCGCAAAATTATAATTTGCGTAATCACTGGTGGTAGGACCTCTTGTGAGTCCGCACGGGTAGGTACCACCACCCCGCCTCTTTCTGCCGTGAAGCAGTAATGCGTTTCGGCTTGAAGGGTGGGGTAGCCGTTGTAACTATACTGAGACCTTAGAACTTATATCTCAAGGTGGGTGTTGCATTTACATTATAGATGTCTATGGGCTCCAGAAACTAGTTAACACCAGGTGGGCTGCGAGCTCGTCCACCCATCTAAGCAATAAAAAAAAAATAAAAAAAAACGCAATCGAGTATGTCCATGCAACTGTTTTTTTTACAAATTTGAAAATGTATAGCCGCTTACCCCATCGATGAAAAGGTATAAATTATATGACATTTTTTTCTTATTATCATCTAAGCTTTGCGGCCCAATAGGTACCTGTACTTATGACGCTCGAGTAAATTCCCATTTAATTTTAGCATCGTGAGCTCCCTTACTATTATGTTGTGTTTTTAACAAATTAAAAAATAAGAGAGTGACTCCGTAGCAGATACGTCGTTCGATCTATCACTCACTTCGTCCGCTTTTCAATAACATTTAAAAAACTTTTTTGTTATGTACTTGTAAACTATTATACTACGAGTATATTATAGTTTGAATGACTTTTAATAAGATTTATACATACATACGTACCGTTCATTTATCGATAAAAACACGTGTGCTGTCGAGAATACTTTTATTTATTTATATTACTTATTGTTTGTTGTTTGAATTACTGTTTGCAATCAAATAAATATGAGTGACGTGAAAGGCTCGTAAATGTTAACATAATATGAAAAAAACCGCAAAATTAATGAGCTAGCCATACACGCACACAGACATGCCTGGCGGACAGATCCGTGCGTGTATGGTGAGAACGGACACAGATTTGCACGCCGGGTGCCTGCCCGCTGTCCGTGGTCAAATCGAGCGGATGGGGCACGGGGCGGATAGACATTTCCGATCCTGCAGACAGAATGGAAAGCAGTCGACGTCGGCCAAAACACGTCATTTCGGATTCTCCCGATCCACTAACGGTGCTTTTAGGTACCTCACGCACCGGTCATCGTTCTCGTCGAACCTGTCGCTTGCGATGAAGGGCTCGACGAGTAAATTAACCAACAGACACAGCCCACTGAGTTTCTCGCCGGTTCTTCTCAGTGGGTCGCGTTTCCGATCCGGTGGTAGATTCTGCGAAGCACGGCTCTTGCTAGGGTACATGTTAGCAACGTCGTCAGGTTTGAGCCCCATGAGATCACCTACACATTACATAGCCTCTCAAGGCTATGAGCTAAGGAATGGAAAAAAACTTAGCAAGAGCAGTGTTTCGCTGAATATAGCTACTACTACTACTACTATCCGTCCCTGTTCCCGTTATCTGGGGTCGGTTCTCCTCACTCTACGGCGCCAGGCTGATCTGTCATGGGTTGTTGGTTTTGGCAATTGGGCTTTCTTAAGGTCTCTTTCGATGTTTGACCACCAGGTCGATGGCGGGCGGCCTCTACCTTTCTTTTGTTCTGGCAAGCCCATGCGACCTCCACCACACGATCTTCATCCCGTCTCATAATATGGCCTGAATTTACCGCTAAAATATTCGCAGAATATACCACCGCTTTATTATACTTTACAACTACCTATTGATTTTGTAGAGCAAAAAACATCATAGTTACAAAATCTATGCGGTAATATTAGTTGATAAGGCGTGAATGTAAATCATTTAAGATTGAATCAAAGTTACACAGATTAATTTTTACGTTTTTTTTTATTGCTTACATGGGTGGACGAGCTCACAGTCCACCTGGTGTTAAATGGTTACTGGAGCCCATAGATATCTATAACTTAAATGCGCCACCTACCTTGAGATATAAGTTGTAAGGTCTCAAGTATAGTTACAACGGCTGCCCCATCCTTCAAACCGAAACGCATTACTGCTTCACGGCCTAAATAGACGGGGTGATGGTACCTACCTGAAGTTCTACCGCCATTAAAAAGTATGTACTTTGTCTTTTAATTAACTAGCGTTCCTGTGTAGTATAAAATTTGTATATAATTTTCCAATAACTGTCAGTTCCGTTACGTGTGAAGCTACATACAGCGTGCAAGTACGACTTCTTTTCATTTTCCTACATTTGTGAACTTTCAGATATGCTAAGCAGTAAATAAACAGCCGTTATTACATTTTTAAACCTGAAGAAACACTCTTCTGTTCACTTCACAAAATTATTCTTACGTATTCATACGTTTTCTGTACATTCGTACATAATTTATCAAGTTGAGATGAAACTTTATATAGATATCATAGTTTACGGTATACAAAGTATGTTATTTACGTGCGCAAGTAAATTAGCTGGCGCCGCCGTAGTCGTTTTGGTAAATTCCTATTAACTTCATAGTATGTACCTACATATGTGCATAACAATATGTCTATGTACACTGTGGTTAAGTTCTACTTAGAGATAGTTAGTGAAATGGGTACAATTTACCTAGCGGAAGATAGGAATAGAAATAGTTTATTGAAACGTTCAAAGTACTATTCTACCTACTCTTTATTTGGGATTGTCCGTGATTAGTATAGTTGAGTCGTCTATTAACAAAGGTGGCAATCTGTGCATTTGGACAAAAAAAATTTATTGATATGTCAATACAGATTGATTTGAATATAATCGTCTCCTTCAAAGAATACGGTTCAAAACCTGCATTAAATAAAGGTTAATAGTTAACCTGTTATTTATCTAAGATGTCGTTCCGAAGAGTTTTGTGACTGCCAATGGAATACAAAGTCAATAATTCGTTTTTCTGATTTACCAATCATTGTCCAAAAGTCAGATTGCCGCCTTTGATAATAGTCGACTTATATATGAGTCGTCTATTATCAAAGGTGGCAATCTGTGCATTTGGACAAAAAAAATTTATTGATATGTCAATACAGATTGATTTGAATATAATCGTCTCCTTCAAAGAATACGGTTCAAAACCTGCATTAAATAAAGGTTAATAGTTAACCTGTTATTTATCTAAGATGTCGTTCCGAAGAGTTTTGTGACTGCCAATGGAATACAAAGTCAATAATTCGATTTTCTGATTTACCAATCATTGTTCAAAAGTCAGATTGCCGGCTTTGATAATAGTCGACTTAGTTACAGATTTAAAAAAATATTGACGTTGAACCCGAAACATTAGTAGAGAATCGAACAGCCTAATTTTCAAAATTGCCGCCCAAACATGCCTGAAAGAGCTAGGCATGTTTGAGCGGCAATTTTGTTACTTTGTCGAAATTTGTTAATTAAAATTAAAAAAAAACAAAACAAAAAGAAAAATAAATTCAGTCGGTAATACCAAAGAGAAAATGAACCTTTACTGGTTTTTTTTTGTTTGCCTATTTACATATGTAGATTAAATTGGGGTCGAGTTTCTGAACTAGTACGTGACGTATTTTATAATGAACAATTGAATAAACACAACATTATTAGACATTTAATTTTTTTATTTGTACAGCCAATACGATAATTACACACGATTTCAGACACACTTCAATACAAACTTAAAATTACGTCGCAGGAATCATAATATATATTGTCAGATCATAAGCTCGACAGATCTTCGAAATCTTATACGCAAAACAAAAATAGCATACCTATATGGTACGTACATAAATGCGAACATTAAAATTTAAGACATAAAGATCATAATTCTTTGCAGTCCTCGGGTAAACACAAAAACAGCTTGGAACACGCCAAATTGAAGCTATTGCACGCTGTTAATATCCAATTGGGTTTATTCTGCCATTTGATGAATATCATGTATATGGGGACGCCAAGCGCTATGAAGGCGACCCCTATGCCGACGTGCTTCGGGTATTTAAAGCACGAGCATATGACAATAAACGTGCAGGTTATCAGGAAGATAGCCGGCAGGACGAGACTGACGCGGATCGGTCGCTGGAGGCGTGGTCGCGTGTAGCGCATCCACAGCAAGCCGGTCACCGAGCAGAGAGTGAACAAAGCCTCGACGGCAGTCACGTACACCATCAGAGCTTCGATGTCGTTCGACAGCAGTAGCAGTAGGGTGACCAGGCACTGTAAGCAACAGAATATAGATTGCACTCATATTTGATGACATGAGTGAGTGAAGGGGTTAAGTATCGTTTTTAAGATTTTTAAGTGAATGAAGGTGTTATGCGCCTATAAACCATATTAGACCTTAAAACTCCGGGTCTAAAGGCTATTACTGGAAATTGGATGTGATGAAGGAGTTATGTTTTTTTTTTTTTGCTTAGATAGGTGGACGAGCTAACAGCCCACCTGGTGTTACTGGTTACTGGAGCCCATAGAGATCTACAACGTAAATGCGCCACTCACCTTGAAATATGAGTTCTAAGGTCTCAGTATAGTTACCAGGGCTGCCCCACCCTTCAAACTGCTTACTGCTTCACGGCAGAAATAGGCAGGGTGGTGGTACCTACCCACCTGCGGACTCACAAGAGGTCCTACCACTAGTAATTACGAAAATTATAATTTTGCGGGTTTGATTTTTCTTACACGATGTTATTCCTTCACCGTGGAAGTCAATCGTGAACATTTGTTGAGTACTTATTTCATTAGAAAAATTGGTACCTGCCTGGGATTCGAATACCGATGCATCGCTCAACACGAATGCACCGGACGTCTTTCACAGTTCAACGGCTGCCCAACCCTTCAAACCGAAACGCATTACTGTTTCACGACAGAAATAGGCATATTGTGGTGGTACCAAATATGGCGGGCTCACAAGATACCCTACCAACAGTTATTCCATCACCAGTATTCTTAATATTTTGCTATTGTTAGGGCGCTTTGAATTCCGCATGGATAAGTACCATCATTCTGCCTGTATCTATCGCGGACGGTCATGGATGCCGATTTGAAGGTAAATGCATCCGTTATGCTATACGACTGAGACCTCAACCAAGCGTCTCAAAGTGGGTGGCCGCACGTTGTGATGTATAGACATCATTGGCTTTTTTGTAATCGCTAAACATTAGATGATTCGCATTTGGTAAACCTCTTTGCGTTACGGACATATAAAAATAATATATCATACTATAACCCTATGGTAAGAATGGTCAGGCAGTATAATGATTTGGCTAAATGTCACGGTAGCCTGAAATGTGTGAAGGATATTCTATTTAACAATGGCTAGTTATCAATATTTGTAATTTCAATTGTGTTTTCAATAGCCAAAGCTATGCACATTAATATGGTTTTTCTGAGTGCACATATTATTTAGATTGCAATCCAGATTAGATCTAGGTACTACTTGTACGATTTAGCTAATATGTACTGTAATGATTGTAAATTATTTTGCGCATCAATAAATAAAAAAATTAAAAAAGATGAGACATGTGTTCATCGATCCATTTAGTGCAATAATAATAAAGGAGTTTATCAATGACCTTACCATAAATATGAGTGAGGGCACCGGGGTCAACCTCTTGATGTCTATGAGTGAAATCGCCAAAGGTAAATGTCCGTTCCTGGCACCGACGAAGAAAAGTCGCGAGGAAGTGTATATGGCGCCGTTGAGGGATCCAAATGTACACAGAGCCACGAAGAGCGGCATTATCCAAGACATCATTTTGAGAATTTTCTCGCTGAACGTAACAGCAACGGCGGAGGACGAAAGGATTTCGTCACTGGACAATACAGCGAAATAGGCGACGTTGGTTAGCGTGTAGACCAAGGTCACGACCGGCATAGATATGCAGATTGCTCGTGGAAGATTCCTGGAAATAAATAATGTTAAAGAATCAGAAGAGATTAATTAGCTCTGAGGTGCATGCGCTTATTTATACGTATCAAATATCTCCTCTCTTTTTTTAGTTGAACTTAAGGTCAGACAAGAGATTCTAATTTTAACCTCACATTCCAATGCTTGCATCAAAAACAGCATCATAAAAAACATCAAAAACAGCAGCATATAGGTAAATCATTTGTTTAGAAATAGATAATTCGTATTTAGCGTGGAAACTTATCTATTAGTCATATTATGCTTGTTAGTACGACAACCTTTACCTAAATTTGGTTGTTTAGAGAAAGCAGTTTCGAAAATACACTTATTGTGGCCGCTGCCACCCTTGGCCAACGTCATAATCTCAGTCAAATTGTTTTTATTGGTGGTACGACCTTTCGTGTATCTGCGCGGGTAGGTTACCACGCCGCCTATTTCGGCCGTGAAGCAGTAATGCGTTTCGGTTTGAAGGGTGGGGCAGCCGTTGTAACTATACTTGAGACCTTAGAACTTATATCTCAATGTGGGTGGCGCATTTACTTTGTAGATATCTATGGGCTCCAGTAACCACTTAACACCAGGTGGGCTATAAGCTCGTCCACGCATCTAAGCAATAAAAAAAAATTGTATGTATATGCCCCCACACTTCGAACACATGATTGCTTCATTGTAGAAATAGGCAGGATGGTGGTACGGACTCATGAGACACGTCTCCAGCGGGTAGTTATCATAGAATAAGTTTTTGACAGATGTGTAAATCTCGCTAACGATATTTTCAAGATACATAATTACATATAGCACAAGATCTGACCAAAGACAATCGGGCCACCTGTCCAAAAAAATTTCACCCACTCGGTAGAATATCTGTCCTTTGTCGTAGCTCTCAAACGTCCTATTTTTAATAATCACGCAAACATACATTTGATGAGTTTAACTTTATTTATCGATAGCCCATATAGCTGGACGAGCTCACAGCTCACCTGGTTTTAAGTGGTTATCGGAGCCCATAGACATCTACAACGTAAATGCCGCCACCCACCTTGAGATATAAGTTCTAAGGTCTCAGTATAGTTACAATGGCTGCCCCATCCTTCAAACCGAAACGAACTACTGCTTCACGGCAGAAATAGGCAGGGTGGTGTTTCCTACCGGAGCGGACTCACAAGTGGTCCTACCACAAGTAATTATGCAAATTATAATTTTGCGGGTTTGATTTTTATTACACGATATTATTATTCCTCACCATCAAAGTTATTCCTTCGTCATTCGGAAGTCAATCGTGAACATTTGTTAAGTACATATTTCATTACAAAAATTATTACCCGCCTGGGGGATTCGAACACCGTTGCATCGCTCGACATGAATGCACCGGACGTCTTATCCTTACGACCACGACGAAATTATATTATTATTCTGTTCTTCCATCATCGCGGAAGTAGTTCACGACCACGTCTTAGGTTAGGTAAGTCAGCGAATTGGTGATGAAAAAATTCATGAAAATAATGTGGTATGCGAAGCGAAGCCATGGCCACCATTAGGCTGCGTTTGTTTTCTATTAACAACTAGCTGATCTGACAGATTTCGTAGTGCCTCAATCGATAAATAAAGGACCTAAACTTTTGTGTAAAATAAACTTAAAACAAACAAAAGGAATCCGTCCGACGGGGGACACATCAAGGAAAAACAAAAGTGTTATTTTTATTTAATTCCAAGCATTTTCATATTTATCTACCTTTTAAACCTTCTTTGGCCTTCCACAAATAACTCAAGACCAAAGTTAGTCAAATCGGTCCAGCCGTTCTCGAGTTTTAGCGAGACTAACGAACAGCAATTCATTTTTATATATATAGATAGAGGGCAAATAATTTCGCTTAGTCATTTAAAAAAAAAGTGAAATCTCTTATTGTAAGATCCTACATGTGTGTTACTGATTTCGTATTTTTCTTACAGACCTTAGGTACCTACAAGATATGTATGTAAAATTGAGATTATCGTTTCTCCGAAATCTAAATGATCAGGGTTTAATTTATTCTCGCTAATAAAAGTTAAGAATGAATACGAAAAGTGTTTCTAAATAAAATGTATAAAGCGATTAAAACAATTAGACAGCTGTAGATGTTTACATGGAAATATGATAAGGGTTTGCATTGATCATAAATTTTTATGTTTTATTAGCGAGCCCGACAAATGTCTTGCTGTGAAATTAAAAATCTTGAGATCTGATTGCAGCGCCACGTACTGCGCTCAATTATAGGTACTTTTATTATACATTTACTTGTATACCCAAAAACTGTACGATAAATATAGTTAAGTTTGTTCAATGGGAGTCCATGATCAATCTTTTTTGTGTATATAAATCAACAAAGTAGTTGGTTTACCGTCCTAAAAACTCCGAACATTATAATAAAATTTATGGTCAAGGCTTACTCGTAAATAGCTCGGGTGAGATATGAAAAAAGAAAACTGGAATACGGGTCTATTGTAAATTGTAAAGCATCTCAGGATCCACAATCCAGTCATACAAAAGAATCTCAAATGTGATTCAGTCGTTTAGGAGTTTACAAACAAACACACGTACAAAATAATTATATTATATTACTGGTGAAGCGTCCCCTATCTAACATTGATGGTGCCGTCATATACCAAATTTTTGTCTACATCAAAAACCTTCCTTTTTAAAGCAAATTAGATTCTTTTGATGAAAAATTTCCTTGGAACAACAACAATTACTTTATGAGGTTTAATCTTTTTTTTCTACTTCTTTGCTAGATACCTATGAGGCTATTTCACCTATGCTCGAACTGGAAGGTGAGCTCACGAGCTCAACCTGAGAGAATTTGCTAACACTAGACCTAGCAAGAGCAGTGCTTCGCAGAATCTACCACCCAATCGGAATCCCGACCCACTAAGAAGAAGCAGTGAGAAATTTAGTGGATTGGGTCTATGGACTACTTTGCTCGTCGATATTTGAGATAGTCGATGAGTTCGACAAGGACGGCTACCGGTTCTTGAAGAAGCTAAAAGTACCGAGAGTGGATTCGGAGGATCCCACAAAATGTATTTCGGGGGATGGGGTCTTTGCGTTGTCCCGTCGCCTGGGTAGGATATAAAGTTTCATCACAATCAAATGAATAGCATAGGAGCGTATAGACGACTACCTATAAATAAATATTCATTTTTATAAATGGATTTTAGATTAGTTATATTATAGGAAGGAGGGCTTCGTAATCGCTATGCAGAGAGTGATGTTGATAATCGTCATCAATCGGAAAGATTCTAAAAGTTTGTTCAAAAACGCTGATGTTTCTAAATGTTTTGTATTTGTCTGTACATATTTTGTATATTTTGGTATTTTTCTCCATCATAACGGCACTATTCAGATGGAGAAAAATACTATAATATAAATAATAATAATATATATTTTTTATTTTTTTATTGCTTAGATGGGTAGACGAGCTCACAGCCCACCTGGTGTTAAGTGGTTACTGGAGCCCATAGACATCTACGACGTAAATGCGCCACCCATCTTGAATAAATACATAAATAGTGCCGTTTTAAAGTAAATTTTGTTTTAGAGACCTTATACTTGCATTTACAAGCGACTATTAATACGCTTTTACACGCTTTTTTTACAATAAAATATTTTTTTGTTACACTATTTTCAATTCAAAATTATTAAAATTTATTTTCTATTTTTTAGTTGGATTTTCTATAAAAGTGTATTTTGTTAGTTTTTTTAAACTATTATTTATTTTTAGGATAATTTTATTTTAATATCTTAATTATGAACAAGCTTGAGATCCAGAGAAAACGATGATAAACAGTTATTTTATTAAAAGTAGATTTGGCCTCGTGCTTCTGTGAGATATTGGGATTTATTTAACAACCTAGCGAAAACCTCAGAAAATATCCAGTAAAGCTTACTTGTAGGGATCCTTCAGTTCTTCAGTAACAAAGTTCAGGTAATTCCAGCCAGAATACGAAAATAGGCCGGTATAAAATGCTATAGCGATCTCCCCTGGATCCGTTGTTGTTTTCTCCATCATGTACTGCAGGTTTTCCGTGTGTCCGGAGAATAAGTAGACCAAGCTCGCGAAGAATGTCACGAGTAGCGCCAGTACTTTCGCAGCGGTAAATGAGTCTTGAACTCGCGTCACCCATTTCACGTTATAACAGTTAATTAGTGTCAGGAAACCTGAAATACAAATGTATAAACTTTAAGAAATAATATCTTAGTGGCATTTTGTTCGAAAAGGACAAACTATAAGGACTTTGGAATTTTTACGTCAATATTCTCAAGAATATCAAAAGTGATGAGGCTATTTTCAAAGAGTTACGACAATTTCTATAACCAAATGAATTACAATACAATATGCAAGAATAGGAGGGATACATTTTTAGAATAAAACTGAGTTGACCTGCATACTCTGAGCGTGCGGCAGCATTCAGACTATGGTATTTAAGAGTTTATTTATCCGTTGCCTGTTATGGTAGTAAAAGATTCCCGTAGTTCATGGACTCTTAACAATTTTTCTATAAAGTATGCACATTGGCGCCGTTAAACCGATATCTGTCGCTAAAGATTCTCAGTTCCTCATTCAAAACTCTTTCGATACCGGTTGTGTAATGAATTTTATGATAACCGGGAATCACGATGAGGGAAATTCATTACAGCGTAAGACATGTGACAAATCACCTAACTTAAAGTGTTAGGAACGAAAAGGTTATAGATATGGACTCTGCATCGGATGCGGGCGGTCTGATGATACAAAGAAGATGACAAAATCATCTTAAGCAATGCCAAATTTGCTGCTGCGGCTGCGATTCAATACGGTTGTTAGTAGTATGAAGTTTCAAAACAGAGCCTCGGAACTAAAATCAAGCATTTGAAATATGATTTTTCAGGTCCACGGGGTGGACAGATAAAGTGCCAACCACGAAATTAAACTTGTAAAATCAGACACGTTCTGACGGATGCAGAAACTAATTTTAATACATATTAAAATGAAATTAAGCGCCCTTTTTGTCACGTGTATTAACCAAGAATTGTACGCGCTCGTATGTCAGTACGATGCGGGAGGAAGCCCTCATTATCCTGTCAAGCGCAATCAGTCGACCGCGCCACAATACCTACGTAGCGTAGATCTATCAGAGTGCGATTACAAAGACGCGGACGCGGATGCCCTATTGAAAGGAGATGACAACCAGAGGCCTCAAACCGGACCATTTACGTTGATGGATATCAACAAGATTGTGACATGATTGTCTCTTCTTCCGTCACTTGTAAGGGCCCATCTACTGGTGAGCTCGGATTATATAGCTTTTGACAGTGTGCTAAATTGAGGTCGAACATAAACTGTTAAAGGGGGACAGATATTTTTATTTTCTTTTTTTATTGGAGCCTATTAGGTTAAGTCGGCACAGATAATATTAATAAATTGATTTTTTCATCAATTTTACAATACTCTTTAAATTAACTCTATAGAATTACTTTATAATTTGAGTGAACGTTTACGTTTTTTTTAACGTATCGATGACAGTTAAATGTGTTTTAAAGATATTACGAGTATATACAATGATGCCTGTTCGAATTCTGAGAACTGTTCTGGGTGGGCACAAAAAGTTAACGTAAACATTTCCAGGGATTTCATCCGGTTCCCCTTATAAGGTGAAGACTATAGGTATATCTTTTTAGTGCATGGCATGCCGTTTATCATACGAATGCAGCCACGTGAGTTTTACGATGATGAGAGACGAAATGCTGATGCATTGAATAGACCTTTTAAATTTTTAACATAATATTTTTTACGCATTTTATCGAACATTGAGCCTAGTAATTAGTTGAAGGTAGACACAAATTGTGTGATATAGGGTTGCCAGAATATACATATTTTATTAAGCCTTATGAATACTAATCGTTTTCTTCTTCTTTTCAGTTGTTCCCTCATTGTTGAGGATCGTGACTCATCTGTAGTCTTATCAATGTTACTTTCCTTTAATTCTTATCTATGGATAGCCTCGTTGACTGGAATTTCCAGCTCCCGTGGTACCCAGTCAGACCACCGCTTCAGGCTCCGGCCTCTAGTCCTTTTGCCGGTAAAAATGAAGTTTTTTTCTTGCGAATCGTAAATATGAAACAAAGTAATACTTACAGGTAATGCTGGCTGCAATAAGGTTGACTGCTACGACCGGAGGATTACAAACTGGCCATAACGGCTTCAGGATGTTTTCGGCGAAGGTCAGGGCTGTGATTGCGTTTCCCGTCGGTACAAGGATGAAGAGCGCAACCCACAGATAGAGAAAAGCCGGTAGAGAACCAAACGCTTCACCGATATACGCGTAATCCCCACCAGATTTCGGGATCATCGTACCTAAAGAAAAGGATCTACTTTTATTCCTTGATCACATAATATCATATAGAAAATTATATACAGTAAAACCTCCTTCTTGCGCTTCCTTCATTCGCGCATTAAAAAAATGCGACCCAATTCCTATATTGGCGGCTAAAGATTTCTTTAGTCGCGGATATAAGACGTCCGGTGCATTCGTATCTAGCGATGCAACGGTGTTCGAATCCCGCAGGTACCAACTTTTCTAACTATACTGAGACCTTAGAACTTATATCTCAAGGTGGGTGACGCATTTACGTTGTAGATGTCTATGGGCTCCAGCAACCACTTAACACCAGGTGGGCTGTGAGCTCGTCCTCCCATCAAAGCAATCAAAAAAATGACTCACTCACCATGAGACATGAGCTCTAAGTCTCAGTTTCACAGTTCATCGATTGCCCCACTCTTCAAACCGAAACTCATTACCGTGTCATGGTAGAAATAGGCAGGGTGGTGGTATCTACCCATGCGGGCTGACAAGACGCTCTACCACCAGGAGTTGATATAACTATATCAGTTTTTTTAATTACCTAAAGTCTTTATGGTGGCATTTCTAGCCGGAGATAAGCTTCGGCAAATGAAGAGGTTGATTCTTGGATTATATCAAACGCATTTAGAAAATAATTGTTTAAATGTAATAATTTAAACCACTAGTGGAGTTCATGATTTTTTTTATATTAAAAACAGTTTGAGGCTGTAATAAAAATTTATTTTACTATGCTAGAATTTAGTGTTAATATTTATTATGTTGCAATATGCGTCAATATTGGGTTCTTCATATCAGATAGCAGACAATGGTATGGAATAATAGATAAGAGTATCTATTACTCGCCATAATTCATTAGATACTTGTCAGCCTGTCCTACGTTATTAAACAGGTGATATAATATGCATGTACCTAATAAATTCTAATATGGATAAAAATGTCAGTATATCACTAAGAGATGATACGCTCTCAGCTAATTTTAAATAGTTTCTTAACTTCCTTGATCATGCACTACTAATCCGTGACAACGAAATGAACGATTAAATATTTGTAACTGAATACAAAATATAAATGGACCGAAATGAAATTATATTGATAACTTCATTTACTTAACGCACAGTTTCATCCTCCAAGAATAATACATACATGTATATTTTATCTCGGATAAAAGCAAAAGAAAAATACCATATTTTGCTCAACTGTATAAAAGTTGGTAAAAATATGTAGGTAATAGGTTTTCGCCTTTAAGCATTGTCTTGTAGTTTTATTACGGTTATAGTCGCCATTTTTCAGTTTAGGTCGCTTATTCATTCAGCCTAAGCCATCAGACTATTTTGGAATTTTTGTAATCGTCACAATTTCATTTAGTGTATTTAGGATTATTTTGTCAATTACCTATTCTATAACATCTGTGAATCATAATTATAACCCTTTTAGGATTTAAGGTAACTTATATAGTCGTGCTTTTTTAATAATCAGAATATTGGGGTTTCAGAACATTTCAATATCTTCGTATGATTACGGGGTTGGACAGAACCAGTGAACTTTTAATGAGATGTTAGGGCTTGCAGCGTCAATAGGGTAATAATGGCCTCTCACACAATCACAAGGACCGCTCTCTGATCGCTACAGTATTTTTTTTTTGTTTTGTATTAATTATGGTAGTAACAGTAATTTCTCAGGGCCATATTGTGATTACATTAACTCTTCCTCTCTCAATATTTGCTAATATATTTGTGGTCCGCCGCTGTTATATTGAGAAACCACACCCTTTCTGTTGATAGATTTCTGCCGTTTTTCCTCTATTTCATATCATCATGGTATTGCGAGTAATGAAGGTTTCGCTATAGTCTTGTGTGTGGAATTTGACTGCTGTTTGACAATGATTTTGCGCACGTTCTTGTCATAGTTATTCCAATTTTCATCACCAGCGTTTATATTTTTTTAAATCGTTCGGTTTCGTTACATTTTAATAGAATAAAGCGAAGGAGTACACGATTCATTTGATTTCTTTCAACGAGCACGTGTGGTAATCAATCCTTGAGCTTTTTGTATATTCACTTATTCAGATGGGTAAAACATTTTTTTTGGTCAACTTCTACATCTTAAGTCTTAACCAGTTCTTTTTTTCGGGTAGTACTTAGGAGGCCGAAGCATATTACGAGGATTCCGCGCCGAGGGGTATATGAATCTTGACGCCCCCCCCCCCCCCCTGTTGGGAGCGGACCGCAGGCCCAAGGATATTTTAGGAACCAAACGACTCCTTTTCCACTCTCTCACCCGAGATTCAACCTCCGTCCGCAGTAGAACCCGGACACAGTAGGTAGGTTCTTACGGTCAACACTATAGCCGCCACCCCGAGAACGCCCGACTGATGAGTCGACGACCAATGACGCCGGCTTCCCCAGTACGACGGCCCACTATGCCGCCCGGGCCTTGCTGTTGATATTCTGGTATACTGGGTCAGAGCCGCTCTGCTGGATCAGAACGCGATATATCCTCGACCGAGTAGCTCTTCCACAGCACGTCTGGCGACAATAGCGACGACGGCAGCGCGTACCGCTTCCGCCGACGCGTCTTCCCATCTTCCTGATGCCAGCGCGGCGTGACTGTAGCGTTCGGCGCAGTTCACGCTGGAAAGAGGTTGCCTTCTCAACTACTTCTTCTTCTTGCCTTAACCCGTATTATATAAGGTCGGCTCAGTATGTTTTCTTATCATGCTGCGTAGGGTTTTGGCATGAGTTTTACTACTAGCCGCCTGCTGTGAACCCTCAATCAACGTTAACCCTCATTGGGTTATATCTACATACTATATGCAACATGCAATAGGGAGAAACTTTTTTTTTATGGGGTTTTGTTTACTTTATTCGTTTTGATTCTAAGATTTACACGTTATTATTATAAACATTTACATTTTACTACATTACGTTACACATATATGCAACACATACATTTTCAAATACGAAAATAAAATAATATCACATTTTATTGATTTAATTTTTTTCACGTCGAAATCATACGTTCTTGCTCCACTTTTGAAAAAAAATCTCTTCGACTTTATCCGTACCTAGTCGACCAGCTTGAGCTTCAACTTTGAAATTTCCGGGTCGAAAATGCTTGTAGCAATTTTATACTACTGCTACTGATACTGCGTTTAGTCCATAAACGTCATTTATTTTTTGAGGTTTACATCCCAGTTTTAATACGCTTTTATTAGTTTCAGACGTATGTTAGTACGTATGTAACGGAATCTTTGAACATGATTTTGACCCCTTCAAAACGTCGGATTAACTCGAAATTTGGCAAAATTTTAAAGAACCGATGACATTTCAATATTTAAACAAAAAAAAATTAAAAAATTTAAATTTAACTAAAAAGTGTAACGCAAAAGAAATTTCAAACAAAAATGAAACAGAAAAAATTAAAAATGAAACGAAATGAACACGCTTTTTTTACAATAAAATCATTTTTCTTACAATATTTTTAATTCAAATTTATTAAAATTTATTTTCTATTTTTTAGTTGGATTTTCTATAACAGCGTATTTTTTTAGTTTTTTAAAACTATTATTTATTTCTTTTATTTAATATGTACTTCAAAATTAGATTCACTGATTTTGGCAGACAGACAGACAAAACAATAGATAAATAGCGGGGGAAGCTTATATTATTTAGTTGTCTTCTTTTAAATTACATCCATTTAAATTTAAATGGTATCAAAATCACCCAGATGCAAACATTACAACAAAAAGGATCTTACTGCATTTATTTACTTTATTTCAACTCATCTAATAAAAGTACTGGATACTGATTGTAGATAAAAAAAAAAGAAAACAATTTTTTTACTTATGAAAATATTAAAAAACCTCTCCGAACTTGTACGTATACCTATGCACAGTAAACAAGTAAGTTTGATTCTAGAAATGATAAATAATATCGTAATGCGTTATTTAGGGACTTGTATCAGAATAGAGCTCGTTTATACATGCCTACATACATATATGTCAAATCCTAGAAATAAGACACGGAAGAAGGTTATTTCTGTACCGTTTCTCAGATCTTTACTTGCACGAATGAAGTATTAAGTTACCAATCGTAATGATGTGTGAATATATTGCACTGAACTTTGTAATTACAAAAACGTCGAGCCTCGATCTGCATGTCTTGGATACGGGGGGATATTTATGAAATAGTTATGTTATAAGACAGAGAGCGGTCTTTGAAAAATTACCGTGCTAACAATGTTATTATATAACTAACCACTCTTGACTGTAATATATTGAAAAATAATTACGATCGTTATATATAATTTTGTATGATAATATTGTAATATATGTAATTTTAACACAGAAACTTTGGTAGTGTTATCGATCATTTAGACCAAATCGTGGACATTGAATACGTCATCTACATATATATCAAAGACTATTTAAATTTGCTGTCAAAGAATGGTACTTGATATTGAATTGAATATTGAATGAAATATTGAATCCCATTGGCTACGGCACCTTAGCTGTAGGTATCGTTCTTTTATTTCCTACCTAACTTCTTAATCCCTATCGGTGTTGTTGTGAGGTACATACTAAGCTCCCACAGGTGGGTCATTCTGTCTATTTCTGGCGCGACACAGTCTTGTGTTCAAACATGAGAGCTAGGAAAATATTTGTACCAAAGCAATGAAGACAATATCTCAAGATAGGTATGGGCGATTATATTGTAATATCTATGGAAAAAATATTTATATAAGGTCGGCCAGGAGCTTGTTAGCCTATTTTTGGCAAACAAAAAAGCGCGTTCATCTTGATATTGCTGTGTTTAATATTTAACAGCGTTATTGTTTATTTTCCTGCTTCTAACTAATACATGTGTGCTGCATATGGAATTAATGATGTGACTACTAACCACACACACCACAATACATAATATTGTTGTGAGACTTGCGAAATATAGCGTGAGACGGGTCGATCGCGTACCCTGTGATCGGAAGCAAAGGTTTATGTCTAGCGGCTAACGAAGTAGTAGCAGTAGTTCTATGCAGATCACTACAGCTGAAGGACCGAATGGTAAACAGTCGACGTCGCCCTAAACAGGTCATTACGGAATACGGATCCGATCCCCCGATCCATAAACGGTGCTTTTAGGTACCTCAGATACCGGTCACCGTCCTCGCCGAACCCGTCGCTTACGGCGAAGGGCTCGTCGAGTAAATTAACCCGTAGACACAGCCCACTGAGTTTCTCGCCAGATCTTCTCAGTAGGTCGCGTTTCCGATCGGCTGGTAGATTCTGCGAAGCACTGCTCTTGTTAGGGCCAGTGTTAGCAACACCGACTCCGAGAGTTCACCTATACGTTAGGATAACGCTGATATAGCCTCTTAAGGCTATCAGCATAGGTAGAAAAAAAAAACGGCTAAGGATATTTAAATTGTAATCATTAACGAATTTACTTGCAGTTATCAAAGTAAACAGGGCGTAAGCGTTAATGATTCTAGGTTGCATATGTAGATAGGTAGGTACCTACTTAGTAGTTTTTTTTTTTTTTTATTGCTTATATGGGTGGACGAGCTCACAGCCCACCTGGTGTTAAGTGGTTACTGGAGCCCATAGACATCCACAACGTAAATGCGCCACCCACCTTTGAGATATAAGTTCTAAGGTCTCAAGTATAGTTACAACGGCTGCCCCACCCTTCAAACCGAAACGCATTACTGCTTCACGGCAGAAATAGGCAGGGTGATGGCAGACTCACAAGAGGTCCTACCACCAGTAAAGATTGTGGTAATGCAGTCAATAAATCAAGAATAAACGAGAAGATAAGCGAAGAAGACTGTGTTTACGCGAACATTGGTTTGATAATGTCATTCATTAACCATGATATACTTACTGTATATCACTGTACTTTACTTAATTTAGGTTAAAAATATTTTTGTGCGAAATTTCATCCAAATCACCGCATGCTTAACATGTAGTATATGTACATAATATGTATGTAAAGTAACTTGGATTTTAGTATCAAATGTCTTATTTCAATATTTTTATTTATTTTTAGATTTAACTATAAGTATTTTATCATGGTTTTCCTGTTGTTGTGTGTTAATAGTAGCATTAATAACTTCGTAGTGAATGCTACAATCAACCTCATAGAGATCATAAAACTCCATGCTATTTTGTGCTTTATGTATTACGCTCAGCATGCCATCAAACCTTAAAAAAACAAAAAATTAAAAACGTCGCGTTAAAGATAAAATAACAATAACGTAGGTAACTATGCGGACACAAAATGCCCCTTGCCTGCTATAAAAAACAACTTATGACCTACGTATTATAGTTACTAAAATATTCGGGGAAGCCAAAATTCATTTTAAAAAAACTTTAATAACGAATTGGAAAGTTCTTGTATGTACCTGGAACTTCATTGATAATTATTTTTTTAATGTCAACGCAGGGAGAAACATGGAGTGTTCACTGTTGTTTATAGACATCGATAATGACACCGGTATAATTATACTATATGCCCCAAATATATTTTTTAAAACTTCACACTGGTTAGGGGGCGTCCAATAATTATATTAGGTGTTCTAAGGGGGAGGGGATCAAGCTAAATCTTTCCAAATCTCACTTAGGGGGCCACTTCCGGAACAACTGTCCTACTCGAGTAGTAGACAGCTGTGTATCATTTGCGAAAAGGGCTAAATGGGTCGCCGGCGACCAGGTAATATCATTAATAAACAGGCTAAAAAGCAGCGGGGAGAGAGCGGAGCCTTGTGGGACTCCGGTCAAGATATGTCGCGGAAGAGAGCGAGTTCCCTCGACTCGATACCGAAACGAACGGCTCGACAAGAAGTCTCGTATGATGAGCAAGAAACTTTCTGGCACGCACATGTTATATAGTTTGTAAATTATTAGTCTGCGTCTATTTAGCCCTACTAAAATATGCCCCGTGAGGCGGTGCAATTGCACGAGTGTTTCGCGCCGAATTCTAACTGTTCGTCGATCAGGATGCCTTTCGATGTGATGAAGCCCCAGAGGCGCTCGCGTAATAGTTGCTCGTATAATTTGCCTAACACTGGGAGGAGGCTGATCGGCCGGTAGTTCGCGGGATTGTTTATAGGTTTTCCAGGTTTGTATATCCTGATAACGTCCGCTTCTCTCCACACTGCGGGAAAGATGCAGTTCGTCATAGCGGCACTTAAAATGGAGACCAACGCGATTATTATTTGAGTGGGTAATTTTTTTTAAACACGGTTATGTATTCTGTCGGAGCCGGGTGCTTTCCGTGGTGTAACTTTGCGATTTCTTCCTTTACTTCTTTAATCGCAATGGGGGTAACTCGTCCGAAAGTGGCCGAGACCTTGACCTCCCTGTCGACTAACTCGGTGTGTTCGGGGTCCACGGTTTGAGCACCGCTGGTGCGCTGCTCCTGCAGTGCATTGGCCAGTAACTCTCTCTTTTTATCGTCATGCGCTCGATTGTTTTAGCGCTGTCGAAAAACTGTATACATGTACGCATGCGACTCGACAAACGTCGTAGCGCAAAGTCGCTATATAATTTTATGATTGTGACTTTAAATTACGGTAGTATTTACATAAATTAGTCTTTGGTAATCTTCAAAAAAAGTAATAGAACAAGTTTTTTTTCTCTATATACAATACGCTTACAGCAAAATATAAATTTTGAAGAATATCTCGTGGGATTAGGGCAGGGGGGAGAGAGTTGAGGAAAATTTTACGAAATCTCTTTTTTTTTTTTTTTATGATTGAGATATTACTGGTGGCCCGAAGGCCTTTCCAGTTTCACCAGGACAGGTGGGCGAGCAAAGGCTCAGCCAGGAGGGGTGGGATTTGCTAACAGCTGCCCGAGCGCCTCCGAAGGAGACCTAACAACTCAAGAGCAATTGCTTCGCGAATGAATCTACTACCGGATCGGAATCGCGACCCGCTGAGAAGATCCGGCGAGAAACTCAGCGGGCTGATGCATGGGCTAGGTTGCACGTCGACCTCTTTGTCGAGTTCGACGAGTACGGTTACTGGGGTCCCTAAGCCTGCTCCTAGTATTAGAGCTGAAGGCATCTAATGCAAAGGTTATTGGATCTGATGGATCCGTAAGGACGTGTCTAGGGCGTCGACGGTGACTGGCTCCTGCATGATCAGGATTCGGTGCGTAGTCAGCGGCGGCAACGATAAGGCGATTATCATGACGCATAGCCTTATCGAAGTATCGTTCCGACGCTGACTTCATGTATTTCTGGATTGATTCAAGGCCCAGGTCGTCGTGTAGGTCAACGTTCCTCACGAACCACGGAGCCCCGACGGCTAACCTGCAAAAGCGAGATTGTAGGGATTGGAGGGTGTCTATGTGTGTGCGGGCCGCGTGAGCGAACACCACACTCGCGTAAGTCATGATGGGACGAAATCTCACAAAGGGGTGAGGGACGTCGAAAAATTCTCCAAAATGTCTCACATAATTAATGGACGACCCCTTACACACTTTAAAAATAAACAAAAAGGTAATGAAATTTTTCACTAAAAAATCCGTTCGAATTAAAATGTATAAATTATTTTATTTTATAATTTTAAATACCTATAGAGAGTTCGTTCTATATCGTTACAAGGCTAACTGGTTTAATATAATTTAAAAACATTTAAAATAAGAATTAAATTATTTCACAAAAGAATAGTAGTTGATTCTAAAAAGCAGTGTAAAATAGTGTGAAAAAAATATTAAATAGCCTCAACCATAATCTATCGCTGTGGCTAATTAACTTTGCACACAAGGAAACAAAATCTGAAAAATTGATGTAATTAGCATAGACCGAACATGACGAGGCATCGATGATAATAATTTAACTCACCTAGCTCTGCATAACAGAGCGCTCCTATCATGGACAAGAATCCAGATAAAACCCACACGATGAGAGCCATTCCTTTAGAACCTGCATGTTTTAGCGCCAAACTTGGAGAAACAAATATTCCTGATCCGACTATTACACCCACAATTATTGCCACACCGTTCATTAGACTCAACTCTTTTTTCAATCGCACACCTCCACCAGATCCTTTATCGACACCATCACTGCTTTCAACTTCATTTTCGATAGCCTTGGGAGCTAATCCATCTACGTCGGCAACTTTAGCCATTTTTAATGGTTTTTGAAAATTATTTTACTGAACGCACACTAAAAAAATTCGCGCGAATTTTATTTTAACACATTCACTATGTAAAACCGTCGTAATGCTGGAACTGTGGCCGAAAATCATGTGGCAAGTCATACAAATATTGCGTCACGCTGCGGATTGAGTTGCGGCGGGAAGCACCACGTGTAGTAGTGTACACCATGAACAACCCATGAGTTGATAATATTGCGGCCGGACTTCGCCAATTCTGGTGCGATAACACGTTCGTGTATTTATTCACGGTATAATAATTTCGTTTAACATATGTTGGTTTAAAATAGAATATTTTTCGTTTCTAACATCACCTTGTCCCAGTTAGTGAATACGAATACTGAATCTGTATTTAACTCTGACTATTCTGTCTTTTAAACTGCAAATTCGAATAGTATTTTTATAGGTTTCGGTCGCGATCTATTCCATATGGTACGGCGTGTGCGGCGGGACGAACGCGTTCGACTACGTCTGGCTACTGAACTAGTTAGTCACTTTGCTACTTTGCAAGTTAACCACGAGCTCGTACGAGCACAGTACGTCACGACCGTCTACCATCATTTGAGCAGTCCAAATGCAAAAAGGCATGGGTGTATCGAGTGTGCTACGCGACTGTGAGCTTATGGACTTATAGTATAATGTGTAATTTCGGATGCAATCACACCATGTGAATTCACTGCCAAGTTCGTTTAACTGGTTTGCAGCTGTCTCTGTCTACACAAACCACGTGTGTATTTGATTCAAATTTTTGGTATAAACTGTAAACATACTAGAATAGTGTATTTCAGTGGTATATTCGAAAGTACATTGACCGAATTTAATAGGAATAGATTCTTCACGTTTCACTCACAGGATGCGAGTAATTCACTTAAAGAAGGCGCATTGTGAGGTCAATGACAGTGCTGTATATCCATATGCCTTCCCATGTCTCATGAGGCTTGCTATTGATTTTATTTGCTTTTCAGCAACGGTTAACTCGTTATCATCATTGTAACTACTGTTGTATACAATCCAGAACATAAAGTAATACTGGTTGCCAAAGCTCTCCGTGACCCTAACTCTAGCTCCAAGTAAGCCTTACACATAATAAGGCATATTAACACATAACCTTAATGAACCTTTACGAGCTTTTCTTGTGTAAGTTAGTCCTTCCATACAGCGCCACTTGTGGGAAATATGTGGCGTCTGCGCGACCCACATCTGGAAAGACAGCAATGGCAACGTATTCCAATATGGGTCATATAGACACAAACATTCGCTAGTTTCTTTATACCAGTGAATGATATACAAGTATTCCCCAGGGTAGATTGCAAACTACGCAATATAATGATTACTTAACGGTCACCTAAACCTTTAACAAATCTTTGGTAGCGGGTGAGTGTAATCACTTAAACTACAGTTAGGCTATATAAGCGGATTCAAAAAGCAAATAAATTAATATGCGATTACATTACTTGTTAATTTCCACTGTGTGGAACACCTATAAGTTAGGTAGCGGGTGAGTGTAATCTCTTATACTACAGTTAGGCTATTTAAGCGGATTTCAAAAAGCAAATAAATTAATATGCGATTACATTACTCGTTCATTTCCACTTTGTGGAACACTTGTCAGTGTAAATGTTCTTCATCAATTTGACAGAGGATACAAATCGCTTTTCATTTGAATGAAGTGGTCGAAGTAAAATGAAACTGCTATAGAACTCCGGTCCCCGTGTGTTGGAATAGCCCCATAAGCTACCCACGATTAGGTACGGGAAAAAAAAAAAGTATTATAAATTCCTTTTTTTTTTTTTTTATTGCCTTTGTAGGCAGACGAGCATACGGCCCACCTGATGGTGAGTGGTTACCGTCGCCCATGGACTTCAGCAATGCCAAGGGCAGAGCCAAGTCGCTGCCTACCGAATCTATCTAATCTACCGAATTCTAATTCAAGTTTGTGGTTTAATATTAGTACATAATTGAAAGCCAGATAAGGATCATATTCAGCACCAATTGTGAGAGTGCGTGTCTAAAGTAGCGCTGGTTGATTAATCCATTAAAGTGGGTATTATCCACTTTTTTGGGGAGACTTTTTCTTATATTTACTTGCAAAATATGAAGTGCGCGTTTTTACGTGCGAACCATTGATGAGATTACTCAATTTTAACCTTGTTTGGCACAAGTTGTGCTACTGTTGTTGACAGTTGCAGTTGACTTATTCTAAAATTTAAATATCTTGATAAAACCCTGGAATAAAGTCGTTCCAAGTAATCAAATTCAGTTTTTAAACAAAATGGTCGTTTTAAGCTAAGCGTCCACAGGTCGGTAAAGTGTGGCTCCAAAGGTAACGGCATTTTGTATACCGCAGCTGCGGACGGTTTTCGCACAGGAGTGTTTCATAGCATTACATTCTAGATACCATAATGACTTCTTTTTATCAAATTTCAATTCTTTCTTTTTATTTATTTAAAAGATAATTCAAATTAGTATGTCATTTGATATTATTTTAAAATGACAATGTGACAACTGAATGTATTAGGTATTTCTTTGGATAGCAATTAGTTACTTACGTTTTTTGTTTTCATGCCTACCTCAACGTTATTATTCGTATAATTGGGTGATAATTGTTTAATTCCTGCAATGTATTTACTGTAAATAGATTAAGTATCCCATGAGTGTCCGTCACGGACACCGGCACAAGTCGATATTATCGGTACATTCTCATAATTGAGGCCTATAAACTCAGAGGCAGCTAAACGCCTTAATGTCGTAAAATGGATTAACAATGGCGCTATCTTGTTTAGTTAGTTAGATACGGTTTAGTGTTTTCATGTTATAACAAGTGCAGCTAAATCTTTAACAAATTCAGTTCAAAAATTTTATTTTTACTCTGCACTAAGTAATAAACGAAGTTTTATCATTTAAAATTCAGATTATTAGTAATATTCTCATTCTTTATAAATCTGCTTTAAAATAAAGAATATCGTAGCTATCCGAACAAAATTATTTCAGATTTTCAAGCCGGGAGTGTTGCTACACTGGCCCTAGCAAGAGCAGTACTTCGATGGATCGGTAGGATCCGTAATGACGTGTTTAGGGCCGATTTTTGTAGTTTACCTGAATATTTGACAAACTTGGATTTCGCTGCCTTTGATTTTATAGGCCTCAATTAAACTAAGAAGGGCGAAACCGATTCCAATAAGAATGACTCTTATCAGAGTTCTGAGGAGAACCAGCTGTGAATGATACTTGAGCAGGTCTTTTGTTATTTTTCAATACTGTTAACTAAATCGTAAATTAAATATAGATAATAAATAAGTATTTTATTTACAGAATTACATATCCATGTTATACATAAAATATTTTACAACAAGAATAATTTAGAACAGCCGAATCACAACTAACATTTAGATCGTGCACTAATTTCCACTAGAAACATCATATTTGAATATTCTGGCAGAACCATCATCAGACGTACTGAGAATCAAATTCTCTTTAGCATTATAGCAGAGGTCCAGAATTTCTGATCTGTGTCCCGTCAAAATCACACACTGTTCACCAGATCTGCCTTCGTATGCTCGTATGGAACCATCCAGGCATCCTGTCATCAGATTGTTTTTCACCCAAAACATTTTAGTAACTCCGTTGACTTCATTTTCTGGTTTTGTACATTGATGCCTTAACAACTGCCTTGCTACGTCCCATATTGTCACAGAGCCAGTCAGTGTACCTGAAGACATTTTTAAAACAATTAATACTAAGAAAAAAGTTTTTTAAGAATTACTTACTAATCTATTTATTTATTTATAACTTCATACACTAGAAAGTATAAAGGCGGACTAAATGCCATAAGCATTCTCTAACAGTCTACCTTAGGGGAGTGCAGAGATGAATCTTGGTAGGTGTAGTGTGAAGGTGATATTACTTAAATATATGTGTGTATATAACATACATAATATTTATAGATACAAATACTTAAATAAATACATATACATAAATATATATATCATTACTTACTAAAAATTACTAATATTGAACATAGGTTTACTTGGAAAATAATATTAAATGAGCTTAATTTTTAACTTTTTATCTAAGAGAAGTATTTGTTAGCAAATTTAATTAAGTACTTCTGTCATACTATTTTCCATAGCATCACATCTTATTATGATAGTTGAATTTTTACTGGATAGCTTCTTGGAAATAATACATACCCTTTTTAATTATTTAACATACATTTAATAAATTCATGTTGTTTATTAATTCTTTTCATATTCAGACAGGTTATACGATACATTTAAAACTTAAGAGCTTTGTGTCTTCAACTTATTTATGCAGGTAAGATAGACTTTAGTGCAACAAAATGAAAAGTTCAACTTGATGTACTAAGGATTTTGTGCTAGTACTTAAAGCCATTAAACACTAGGTACACCATAATCTTCTTTCTCAAATTACAAAACTACATCTGTAAGGTCATTTTGTTGATGTGCAAATAACTGAGATTTACTGATCAAATATTAAAATAAGCAATATAGCAAAAAGTAATAATGTACGGGAATCTTAATTTTTTTTAGTAGGGTATTAACAGAACTTTAGTTCTATATCTGTTTGTTTATTAATTAGAGAGTATCTTCAAATTTCTTCTATGTTTGCAGGGCGATTTAAGAAATCTTTTTTTTTTTGTTTGACAGAATACCTACTGAGGAGGTATTTCAGATGGTTTTCAATTCATATTTTATATATTCTAATTTTAAAAATATTTTCTCGAAAGTATCAGGAAATATGAAAAAGATATTTCCAGAACATGAATAGTTATTTATGTTTATATTATATTATATTTCTTACCTAAAGCTAAAAATCCTAATAGTTGATCCTGTGCAAAAGCAACAGTTTCTAGATCATTTTCGGTTTGCAGCTCACCAACTATTTTCCCATTGTTTGTTGTAGTCAATATGACTTTTCCTAGAAAAAAAAATACAATTAGATATTTATGATCAGTGCCAAAAAAATTACCAAGTTAACTGATGGATTGGTTACACATGTTTTTTTTTTTAATATATTTCAATACAGTATGTTTGGCAATGTGGTGCTTGTGAGTAACACGACAAGAGAATAAAACAATCTCTTTGTGTGATTGTCATAAAATGTCAGAGCTTCAGTGGAAGCATATTTTTGAACTTATATATCAGCATCATACTGCAATTACCAATAGTTACTTACTATTAGTAGGACGTATTGTAAATCTGCATGGTAAGTAGCAAGTTCAAGCAAACTTCTATCATGAGTATAATAGTTGAGATAATCATTATACTATAAGTTGAGACTTTGACCTCTCATGTATCAAGGCGGGTGGTGCCATTCACGTTGTGATGTCTATGAGCTCTAGTAACCACTTAGCACCAGGTGGCCTAGTATCTTATTTACCGATTAATAAAATAATTTGAAAAACTTGATCTCAGGTCATAAGATAGAATAAAGATAGCTAGTAAACAATGGATGTATTTTTCCACACATGATCATCATAGAATAATAGATTTGAGATATGCTCCAGAGTTTTCTTCTGATTCAATACCTCGCTTTAAGAAACATCATGCCAAATACTAGTAACAAAAATAATTCACACTGAACAAGCTCAAGCTTGGATCTTCTCATGTTCTATGGATACCGAATGCCTAATCAAGTACAAAAACAAAACACCCATAAGTGAGTCGACTATTATCAAAGCCGGCAATCTGACTTTTGAACAATGATTGGTAAATCAGAAAAACGAATTATTGACTTTGTATTCCATTGGCAGTCACAAAACTCTTCGGAACGACATCTTAGATAATTAACAGGTTAACTATTAACCTTTATTTAATGCAGGTTTTGAACCGTATTCTTTGAAGGAGACGATTATATTCAAANTTGACTTTGTATTCCATTGGCAGTCACAAAACTCTTCGGAACGACATCTTAGATAATTAACAGGTTAACTATTAACCTTTATTTAATGCAGGTTTTGAACCGTATTCTTTGAAGGAGACGATTATATTCAAATCAATCTGTATTGACATATCAATAAAAAATTTTTGTCCAAATGCACAGATTGCCACCTTTGATAATAGACGACTCAAGTATGAATAGATTATGATTGACTGAAACTTTATTACTGGTGGTAGGACCTCTTGTGAGTCCAGACGGGTAGGTACCACCGCCCTGCCTATTTCTGCCGTGAAGCAGTAATGCGTTTCGGTCTGAAGGGTAGGGCAGCTGTTGTAACTATACCGAGATCTTAGAACTTATATCTCAAGGTGAGTGGCGCATTTACGTTGTAAATGTCTATGGGCTCCAGTAACCACTTAACATAAGGTGGGCTGTGAGCTCGTCCACTCATCTAAGCTATAAAAAAAACCACATATTTAATCAAATTAAAAACTATCTTGTAAACTATATCTGTTCATAAAATATTTATACCATGTAACAGTGTATTAAAAAAATAACATTTTATGTTTTATTTTCATTATCGTAGGTTTCTTGGCCAACAACAGAAATTTATTTACTTTTCTGTTTCCTTTTTCTATTCTAATTTCATGGAGTAGAAAACAATAATTCTAACCATCTGTAGAGATTGAAGCCATAAGACTATTGTCTGGGTGAATGTCAATTGCCGTCACTCTAATTTGATGGACATTAGCTGGTAATTGGTGTGTCACAGCTGATGTTTTAATATCCCATGTTTTGACTGTACCATCTTCATAGCCAGCAGCCATTCGGACACCATCGGTGAATAGCTGTAAGTGTGGAAAATTATGCAACTTAATTACCAATTACGATAAAAAAAGTATATATTAAGTATTAAAAAACATGAGACAATAATTGGGTTAGCTCATAAACAACTTGGCCTTAGACTCTTAGAAAAACCCTCAAACTTACTATTGTGACCAAGGTGATGAATCAAATGTTTTCATTTTACTAACAGCAAACTTAATACAACAAAAATTAAATAAAAATTGTTTTTAAATGTGTTTATTTAGTCATATAGAATAATCTGTCTTACCTTTGCACATTCAACTTTGACATTATGCCCCTGAAGCACTTTAGTTTCGCCGGAAGGTATTTTAAAAATGTAGATATCTCCCGAAACAGCCCCACATATCAAAACTTTAGCACCAAAGTGCCACATGCCAAATGATAAGTCATCTGCAATATATTCAAATGCAAGTGGCCATGGATCTGTTCCATCACTGTATTTCCATACTTTAATTACACCAGACATATCCACTGTAGCTAAGTAAGACCCATCAAAACTGAATCCAACAAATATAACAGAGTCCTTGTGATTCATACATTCATGTACAACTTGACCAGATTCCACTGACCATACATAAGCCTTATCGTCTTCACCACCCGTAACTGCTAATTTACCATTGGGGTGGAGATCACAACAAAATACAGAACCCACGTGTTTGCTGAACACTAGTGCAGAATGATCTTCAGGGGGTTCTATATCTATGTCTTCTTCTTCTTGACTAAGAAACTCTTCCATTTCTTCATCACCCAGTTCATCCATTTCGTCCAGGTAAATTACGCCCTCATCCTCCATACTTGTAATTTCGTCTCCGTTTAATGACGACGGCGGTGTGTTTTGCTCATTCCCGTGCATATTGACTGACTGAATAACTGTTCTTATTAAGCTATCTTATTCACCAATTATTCTCAAATATTAAGTGTGCTATGCCAATTATTTTTAGATACTTTTCAAAAAAGTTATAAAATTGTAAAAGTTTAAGACTAACCCCTATTTACAAAACTAAATAAAATATTCTTCATATATTTAAGTTTCTTTCAGAATTATCATACATCGCGTAAACTATTAATTTTATAATGTTATGGTTAAAATAGCAAGTTTTAGATTGTTTAAAATTGAAATTATTTTAACAATTGAGTAAATTGAGTCCAATCAACACGTTTTTTTGTTGTTGTCAATGACATTCTGATTTTTTTGTTTAATTCGTCCATTGGGCGGCCAAGGCGTGTAGAGACCAGTCACTCTTTTATTACAAAGCCAGAGGTTATGTTAGTTGTGTGAAAAGTGAAATGGATCAAAAAACTTAAAATAATTGATTAGGGTATAAAATATATAGGGTGAAATAAGATAACACTATAGGTTTTTGACGAGATGAAATGATATAATTAAACTAAACGGTCTAACTTAAAAGTCTAACGAATTGAATTGACTTGGAAAAACTTGTGGTGTTTAAGATTTAAGAACGCACCTTTTTATGATGCGTAAACCGGAACGCACGAGAGGTGGGAAAAAGAAGATAGTCTGTGACACGCGACCTTTTTACCGCCGCAAATTTAAAACGGACAAAAAAATATAATGTGTTATCTTAGAATTGTTTATGCCGCTACAACAACAAAAACTCCTATTGTTTCAACTGTGTTAATTACATAAAACACTATTTTACGGCGAAATAAAAAGGGCTTCTATACGGACTCCCTCTAACTCAAAAAGCCAGATGCAGGAATATATTTTCATTTTCCCAAGCTTTCACAAGTACTAAATTATGATATTGAGGCCACCATTATTACACGCTTAAACCCCAATACTGAACAGAATGAAATAATCACAACGACAAATTCTTCTTAAAATTTACAATTGGTGAGATCATTAACCGAATAAATTAATTCCTTGTTGGATAAATTTTGCATCTGGACTACTACGTTAGCGACTTTTTTATTGCCGTTCTAGGCAAACCTGCACACGGCCCACCTGAAGGTGCGTGGTTGTTATCATTCTGTCAGCATTGCTAAGGGCAGAGTCAAGTCGTTGCCTATCGAACCTTGGATGATAAAAAATTGTTGTAAATAAAAAGTTGATCCGGAATGTATGCGAATAATATTCCATGCAAATTGGTGGTGTGTCAGTTAGTGGTAACGGAAAATAATGATCACTTTTCTTTAATTTTTTAAATTCGAAGGAAAAAACCTGTTTTCGCTGCTTATAACTACGACGTCACTTATAAGTTAGATCATCAATTTAATCTTATTGACCTGTTAAACTGTAAAAAAAGTATTTAGCACCCGAACAATAGAAACCTATTGATATTGATTAGGAGTGAATTTGGTTCACACAGTGGCGTACCTAGAACTTTTGCCGCCCGGGGCGATCTCCAGTCTGCCGCTCTTTCTATTATAAGTCAACCAAATAGTGGTTTTTATAAATTAATACACATAAATAAATTATTAAGTTATTTAATCAATATTAATTAATACACAGAGTAAATTTTTTAGACTTATTTGTATGCACTCGTAAACATATTTATATAATATCTACTCTTCTAGCTTTCATACTAGAAAAATCGTGTATAATGCCAAGTCCATGTCAACTGGTAGTTTACACGGACATATGAGCGGTGCAATTTATCAATCCAAATACAATTCTTCAAAACGGACTGAGAATATTTATCTATTTGCGAGTTCTGAAATTGTAACTTCGTCAGTATTTTTGTTTTGTCTCGTTTAGATTTTGTTGTTTGAAAAAGATAGTTCTTATGCCGGCGCCCTAATGCTTTGCAGACCTAGGAGACCGCCTTCCGCCGGCCCTGCTTTTCAAAAGAAAAATCGATGAATAAAAAAATATTGATATATTACTTCAAAGTAATCATATAAACTTTTCAAAAGAAATGACATTTATAAACTGATATTAAAAAAAATTAGTTAGGAAAAATTGCCGAACAAAATCGAAAAGATACTTTTACGAATTCAAAGAATTTTAATGAATACAATAAAATCAAATCATTACCTTGTTCTTGAATTAGAATTCAAAATTTACACTAATATGCATTTATATACACCGATGAATAATATTCGAAATCATATAGTTAATCATAATTTATATAAATCAAATATTAAACTTATAATAATCATAATAATC